TTCCACAGGATACTGGATGCAAGTCTGATTTTATGTTATTCAATGAAACAAATTGTTGTCTATTGCTAAGATATGAAAGAAACCACTCTTTAGCAATTCCTCGGATTCCATACTGTTCTAGCTTTTTAACTAGGATGTTATGGTTAACAGTGTCAAAGGCTTTGTTAAAATCAAGAAATATCCCACAAGAATAGCTCCTTTCCTCGACTGCTAATTGGATTTTATCAATGATACTCAATATTGCATGATCTGTTGAATAATGTGCACGAAATCCAATTGTTTGTCATAGAGGATATTTTTCTTTTGTATAAAATTGATAAGTCAATTGTACATTAGTTTTTCTAATAGCTTATTAAATATTGATAAAAGGGAAATTGGTCGATGATTATTCAAACTAGCATGTGAGCCGTTTTTAAATACTGGAATAACTCTAGCTATTTTGAAGCTACTTGGTGCTATCCCTGATGAAAAAGAGGCATTAAATAATATTTCTAATGGTTTAGATATTACTTGCTTTATAAGCTTCAGTGCTGTAATTGGTATGCTGGAGGGTCCACAGGCCTTACCAGCTTTAAGGCTTGCGATTTCAATTTCAATTTCCGTAGCTGTTACAGGAAAAATAAAGAAACTATCGGGATTTAAAGTATTGAGATATTCTAGTGGTGACTTGATCACATTTGGAATGGAACTTGCAAGCCAGTCTCCTATATCAGCAGAATACTTGCAAAAAGCATTAGCAATTGACTTTGTATCAGTTATTTCAGAATTATTATCTATGATTTTAGTAGGAGATTGATTACAATTAGAATTTAGATTATAATCTGTTTAATGCCCTTCCAGATTAATTTAGTGTCTTTCGTGTTTTTAATAAAATAGTCATTGTAATATTGTCTTTTGCTAATACATATAAGGTGATTTACTTTATTTCTATAGAATTTGAATCTACTATGATAATAAGGTGATTTAGTTTTTATATATTTTTTATATAACTTATTTTTAACCCTAATGGATTGACTTATCCCAGAAGTTACCCAAGGTTTTGACTGAAAATTAAGCTCCCTTAGATAATTGCTTAATAGGAATATGTTTATCAACTATTGAAGATAAGACATCATAAAATAAATCAAATAATGCAGTAGGATTAGAAGTATCCTGAGAAGTATCCTGAGACAAAATCTCATTCCAGTCAACTGGAATGAGCCCTTGAAATGGAACTTCAAGCGACCACTAAGAAACTGCAAGATTTATCTGCGGCTATCAATCAATGATAACCGATAACCGATTTGTCTGTATTTTCTTTGAGCCTTGTAATTCTCGTTATTTCCTACAGCCTATTTTCATCATGCGTCACTGCTCCAATTGTCGCAATCGTCCAAAAAGCTCCGACCCAAAGGCCATGTCATTCCAGGACTTACAAGCCTTGCCCAAGAAACCGCCACTGTTGTTGGCCTCGGCACGCAATCTAGTCACAACTGGCAGCAAGGCTCAACTGGCCCAGCGGATCTTCGAAAACGACAACAATAATCTCCCTCGATCAGGCCAACATCCCCCTCCAGCCACAGAATGTCGTCGACGTAGCTAACACCGAACAAATGTTCACGAGCGGCCAACTCGACCAGCTTCGTGTTTTCATAGCCAAAGCCATATACACCGNGAAAATTAAGCTCTCTCTTAGATAATTGCTTAATAGGAATATGCTTATCAACTATTGAAGATAAGGCATCATAAAATAAATCAAATAATGCAGTAGGATTAGAAGTATCCTGAGACAAAATCTCATTCCAGTCAACTGGAATGAGCTCTTGAAATGGAACTTCAAGCGACCACTAAGAAACTGCAAGATTTATCTGTGGCTATCAATCAATGATAACCGATAACCGATTTGTCTGTATTTTCTTTGAGCCTTGTAATTCTCGTTATTTCCTACAGCCTATTTTCATCATGCGTCACTGCTCCAATTGTCGCAATCGTCCAAAAAGCTCCGACCCAAAGGCCATGTCATTCCAGGACTTACAAGCCTTGCCCAAGAAACCGCCACTGTTGTTGGCCTCGGCATGCAATCTAGTCACAACTGGCAGCAAGGCTCAACTGGCCCAGTGGATCTTCGAAAACGACAATAATCTCCCTAGACATCACGCCGCAACAGCTGATCAGGCCAACATCCCCCTCCAGCCACAGAATGTCGTCGACGTAGCTAACACCGAACAAATGTTCATGAGTGGCCAACTCGACCAGCTTCGTGTTTTCATAGCCAAAGCCATATACACCGAGTCCCGTCGACCTGCTGGGGAAAATACTACTGCTCTCCTCTCTCTGGTCAGCGCCTTAAGTCAACCAGGAGCACGCGATGGTCTTCAACAAGATGGCGTCCTACCTTCCTGCAATCCACTAGGCACCAGGCCCCTTGAAGTGAACACTGTCATGCCTGGCTTACTTCCATTGAGCTTACTTCCGGTGGCACAACTTCAAAGCAATCCAACTGATCCACACTTGCTGCCTCTTCCACAGAAGCTTAAAAACAAGATCCTAAAACGTGAGTACGCTGACTTTACTGATCTTCTTTCCTCCAACATGTATCCTGTCCATACTTCCTCATCATCTGATAATATTACCCTGGCCATCAACCCTGATGATGCTTCCATGCTCTCATTTGTCCCCTCCCAACAAAGTAAGAGTTGCATCAATGGCCTTTCTTCATGGCTCGAGGCTTGGAACCTCTACTTTTGTACTCTCCTCTCTGGCTTCCCTCATCTAGGCCCTGATCTTTTAGCATATCAGGATCAGATTTGTAAGTTTAGCTGCAAATTCAAGTCTTCTGCCTGGTTAATGCATGACACAGCCTTCCGTCACATGGCTGCCTCCAACCTCTCCACATCAAGGTCTACGATCAATGAGCAGCTCTACAACGACATTCTGAAGGAAGAAACTCTTCCTTTTTGCCTCACATG